TGCTGGTTCTAGAGCGCTACGAAGATCAAGCACCTACGGCAAGAACATGCCTTCCTTTCTTCACTCCACTCTACCTGATATGTGATACTGGGCAAGTCCGTTCATTTCGCTGGCTTTTGTTTTTCCACTTGGAAAATAAATAAATTAATAATAACAATAATGGATTCAGTGTTACTGTGAAGATTAAATAAAATGCTGTAAAGCTTCAGTTGGCTTTCCTTAAACATGATAAGTGATGTAAAAGTGCCAGCTCTACGAGAACCAGGGCTGGGCAAGGACCTGGCTAGATAGGTGGCAGTACCCACCAGCATCAGTGTGGGTTGGATAGTGGGGTCTGTTGGGCTGAGGTAGGCTTCAGCACCCATTGGTGTGTACAAGAGCCAAATGGGATGCGAGACAGACCCAACCAGTCTGATGCACATACCAGCATGCACAGAAACCATTGTGGAATTATTGGGGGTCGCTCCAACTGGGCTGCTGTTCCTGCTGGTGTATGTGAGGGTGAGTGTGTGGTGGCTAGGGTCGGGCTGGGATATAGCATCTGCTTTGAATAACAGATGGGGCTAGAGACAAAACTAGGCCAACAAATGCCACCAAATACTTGGCTGCTGTGGGTGACGAAATGAATAGGATTCTGTGTTGGCTGGTACACACAGGAGTCAGGTCTACGGTACCTCTAGTGAGGTTTCTTCGGGGAACCACCCCCCAACTGAACTGCTGGAGTCAGAAGTCCAACCACAGGGAATAATCCCAGGATCTGTGGTCTGATCGTGGAGTGCATGAGTCAGAACTGTGCCTCATCAGTTGCTGAAGACAGTGCAGTGGAAGGCATGCCCAGTTTCACATGGCAGATATGGCAGTTCATTGGGGCCTACAGAGGACACCTGGTACCAGAGCAGAAGATTCAGCACAGAACAAATTGGACAAGTTTTGACAGCAAGTATTTGGATGAATGGAGACTCTAAGGTGGACTATATCAGCCAAAGTCCCCTGGCAGAATTTCTCATCCTTGGAACGATGGAATCAGTGGTATTTCAGAGCTATCAAAAGCACTTGAGCAGTACCCCCAGAGCATGCTCCATACTGGGGACTCTGGGATGATTCTGGGTGGGCGTCCCCATCTCCAGGTATGATATGGTTAGAATCCTGGCTGCGGCTTCTCTGCTTCTCTACCCCCTGCCCCCAGATACTGGAAGAAGAAAAAGAAAATTGGAAACAATGGTCTTATCCATTTTGCCCTGTTCTTCATCCCTTCCTGCCCTAATCAGTGGTCCACATGGGCATGCATCCTTCTCGACTATGTAAACATCATCAAAAATAAAATTTAGGGCCTGGTGCAATGGCCTAGTGGTTAAAGTCCCTGCCTTGAACGTGCCAGGATCCAATATGGACACCGGTTCTAATCCAGGCAGCCCTGCTTCACATCCAGCTCCCTGCCTGTGCCCTGGAAAGCAGTCAAGGATGGCCCAAAGCCTTGGAACCCTGCACCCGTGTGGGAGACCTGGAGAAAGTTCCTGGCTTCTGGCTTCAGATTGGCTCAGCACCAGCCATTGTGGTCACTTGGGGAGTGAATCATCGGATGGAAGATCTTCCTCTCTGTCTTTACTCCTCTCTATATATCTGACATTGCAATTAAAATAAATAAACCTTTTCAATAAATAGATATATAAATAAATAAAACAAAACATTTTTAAAAATCATAAAACAGTGCTAGCTCTTACCACTAACACCAAAACAGAAAATCCTTTTAAAGGAACACATTGCAAGTAAGAAGACAACGTCTTCTTAGCTAAAGTCTCAACACCCAACTTCAACAGAGAAACGCTGGTCTCACCCTGGAACAGCAGCAGAGATGCTAAAAGCTTGGAGGTGGTCACGTGCTCACAGACAGGAAGAAACTACAAGAACACATTCCATAAACAAGAGTCCGCCTGCTCAGGGATACACTGGAGAAAGCTTCTCAGCTTCCTTTAACTTAGAGGGGCAATCAGGTTACTGTGTAACTGGAAGTAGTGAACAGGTCTCAATTTAAACCTTCACTGATTGAGCAGGAGTGTTTATCCCACATCCACACCATGGGAAAAAACTGACATTAGTTTATGGGAGTCAACTGAAAATATCCTTTTCTTGTCTGTTTCTCCATCATACAATCAACATGCAAAAGATAACACTAAACCACACAGGTTACACCATGTTTCCATGGTTCACTCAGGAAACTGATTCTGAAAACCCTCAGAGATAAAGCATTTTAAAAAATACAAGAAACAAACAAGCAAAAAAGAAGTAAAACATTTTCCCCACACGTTCATTAGACCATTGATGCTTTGGCAGATCTGGGCATCCGCTCAAGGCTGGGCTCTGGAATACTGGAGCCACAGAAGAAGAACATGTGATGGGAGAGTTTAGTTCCATTTGCTTCTGGCAAAATAAACACAGAAATTGTTTCCTATGGGGGTCCGGGTTGTAGCAGCACAGGTTAAGCCACCATCTGGGAAGCTGGTGTGAAGCTGCACCAGTTGGAGCTGCAGTTGCTCTGTTTACAATCCAGCTCTCTGCTGATGAGCCTGGAAGGGCGGCAGCAATGGCCCAAGAGCCCGTCACCTTGTGGGGCGCTTGGGTAGAGTTCTGCATCGTGGAAGTGGCCTCTGTGATCATCTGGGGGGTAATCCACTGAATGGAAAAATCTCTCTCCTTCCCCTCCTTCTCCCCTCTCCTCATCTCTCTGTCATTCTGTCTTTCAAATTAAACAAAATCTTCACAATAATTATCTTCCGTTTTTTTTTTATGTCAACACTTTTTATTAACACAGATGTGTATAAAAGGATCACATTTAATAACAACTAATCTAAATTTGGGTATACAAATTTTAAAGTTTACTTTGTATTATTTTGGTTATTTTGTTTCACAGAACAATCCTTACATCTATGTCATCCCTTGAGTTATCACCATCTTCCATAAGGTTGAAAGCTTCTTGGGAATTGATGCCATATGTTTATGTGCACTTTCACGCTCTTTAAAATACTTGCTGAGCTTAAATATAAAGCTAACAATATGGAAAACATACTAGTATTATCCACTTTCCTGTAGCCCTTGAACCTTCGTACCCTAATTAACTATGTAAAGAATGTCAAAATAAAATTAAAAAAAAATACTTGCTGAGCAAATGGGCGAATGGTCATGTAAACTCAGCTGTTGTCTCAGACTCTTGTACTTTGCTCAATTCAATGGGCTTCGAGTGTCTTACTGGTTTATGTCCATTACATTCATAGAGAATTCCCCTTATTAATTATGCTTTTACCTCACACTACTTGTTATTATTAAATATGAAGACAGTACCCATCTGAATAGCCCATGTTGTTGTGATTACAGTAAAAGATGCAAATGATGCTGTGGGATGCCAATGCTTCTACCCAACGTTAGAAACTCCTCTGAGCGACCCTGGGTAGGATCCATTCTCCAAACCAGAGCAACTCTCTCCACGGACACAGTACAAGATGTCAGAGGAGACCACGGAGCCCCTGTTCTGAGGGTCGCAGGCTCCCCAGGCACTGCTGCAGATGGCACAGGGACATGCAGGGAAAGGAGCAGGATGACCCAGAGTCATGCTGGAGGCTTTAGCTACAGTCAGCCTTTACTCCAGCCCTCAAGGGAGCTCAAACTACAAGTTCATGTCTGGATCAGCTACAAATGCACCTCAAGGAAGTGTTAAGCTAAGCTTTCGCCTGCAGTGCTAGGATTCCATCTGGGTACTGGTTTGTGTCCCAGCTGCTCCACTTCCTACCCACCTCTCTGCTACTGTATCCGGGAAAGCAGCAATGGAAGACGGTCCAAGGGCTTGGGCCCTTGTACTTACATATCCCAATGAAGCTGCTGACTTCCAAAGCTGCTTTAGCCTGTCACCACAGCCATTAGGGAATGAACTAGTACAGCTCTTTCTCTCTCTCTTTCTCTGTAACTCTATCTTTCAAATAAATAAGCAAATCTTTTTAAATAGATTTAAAATGTAAGTTTATTTTTGTATAGAAAAATTTTTGAAATATATGAGGGATCTTTCTAATTTCAAAGACAATTCGTGTTATGAAAAATCACTGCATTGATTTAAGAAAGGGCTTAATAAATAACCTTAAATTTCAACTTTGCTTTCCATGCAGTTTCTGAAGTACTTCTATATTTATCTTTCAAGAGTCACTTCATATCATTATGTACATTTGTGAGTTATTTCTAGTTCTTGTGCCAGGATGTTGCATCATCGATCCTCAACCAATTACTTCTGTCTCTATAGTGTCATCACACAAAGACCCTTCTGTGTGTTGTAAGTTTAATTTCCATACAAGTGAAACTATATCAATTACACATGTATGAAGCTTAAATGAGTGATGTTCAACTATGCTTACAAATGCACATACATAAATGAAAAATAAACATTCCTTAGAAACACATTACAACATTTTGCAATACGACTGTCGTGTTTACCTTTTATTTATACTCCTGTGGAGCTGTGGACCTCCTAGTTTTTATTTGTTGAATATTTTGTTAGTGGTAAAAATAGTGAATTAAAATTATGTCTTTGCAAAAACTGATGATGGCAGGGGGGTCATGGTTATTATATTTGTCTTCTTAGAACTATACCTATGGAGTGTATGAAATTTGTTCTTTTTATATTATTTTTTTAACTTTTAAGAAATTAGAAAAGATAAAATATTTTCTGAAAGCTTACTTTTAATTTTTAAATATCACTTTAATTATTATTAGAAAAATAATATCCAAAATTAAATTATTATGAATTATAGATTTTTTGAGTTTCTGGATTTTTATAAAAATAGCATTATTTTTGGCAAAGCAGAAATATTTTATACTATATTAATCTTTACAGACCCTATGTTAATTCAGCCTTAAGAACAATACATTAATGGCATTAATTCAGTACATTTGAATATAAATATTTACTATCATATCAGCAGCAGTTTAACAAAGATAACTTTTTAAGGCTTCATACTTACATTGGCTTCTTTCCCAGCTAATTTGCATAATTCCACCCGTTCTTTTGCTGCAGGCCAATAAATCTGTAAAACATTTCAAAGTATGTTAGAAGCTGAATGCTTAAAATGCCACTACACACTGCAATTCTGATAGGAGAAATGGATGAGCAAGACTGAAGCCTGGCTGTTAAGCCTGTCATGGGAAGAGTTCCTGGGAGAGTTCTGAGATTGAAATATTCTTCCAAAGTCATCTGGAACAGCTTGAAAAGGAAAACAGATTTGGACCGCACACTTTCACTTGCTGTTCTTCCAGCTTCTCTTTGAATGGATCTCATAGCAGATGAATGATGTGCACAAGGGTACAGGGTCTTAGGGAGATGTCAGGGCATTTCGGATGTTTGTAAATCCGAGGCACTATTCACCTGTCCCTCCAAGCTTACCCAGGGTAACGGTGTATTATAAACACGGCAGTGAGGCACTGGCACCACTTCTGCTTCTGTCACAAGCACATGTTATCATTCCAAGGACCAGTGTGGATTTGGAGACAATATTTAACCTTCATGGAGCCCAGACACATCTGTCACACTGCTAAATATTTACAAGTGTAAGCATTATCTTATAATGACCCTATGAGATGCCTGTACTTATTCTCATCTCCAGGTCAGGATACTTAGTCATCCAACCTCAAAACAACATGCCAGAGGATGTAATGCCACAGCAGGCCCGACATCTGACCCAGGTGTCTCCTGATTCAGGAGCCTCAACTATGGCCTAACGCATGCTCTTGGGGCAACTGGTTAAGGTCAGGGGCAGCAAATTCCTTGGCTGATAGCTTTTAATCATGTTTAACAGTCTTGTCTTTATCAGTAAGACTTCTTTTAAAACAGAGTTTAAGAATTCTGTCAAGAAGTTTCTGCAGCATAAGGCTCCAACAGCTAACGTGACTCCCGCAGTTTATAGCAAGAACTCTCCCTGTGCGGCTATGGGCAAGACGCGACACGAAAAACACGCTCCAGGCTGCTTGCACTGCATGCTCCACGAGCTCCTAACAGGCATTTATTAGGTTTCTCCCCAGTGCCTGGATGGGTAAGAGAATAAGAAGATATCCTGAGGGAACACACAGCAAAAGGACTTATTGAATTTAAAAATAACAAACAATACAGAAGTCACCTGTAAGTAGAAGATACTATCTTCAAAGTGAAATTTTCAGGTTTAATTATCATTGAATAGGAAGAACAGAGAATAGCTCTCAAAACTTTAGTAATACATAATACACGATGAGATTATTGCTATAAAATAAAGCGTTTTTATTCATCTATAACAACCCACAAATTACAATCTAAAGGAGTGTGTGTGTGTGTATGCCGAGGGTTAGAACCAGCAATAGGACCAAAAAATGAACTAAAATATTTTTCATTCAGAAATGACTTCAATCACTGTGGCAGTTTCATATACTTTTGGGTCCAGCAGTTACTGCCAGGGACCAGAGGAGATGAGGACCACTATGGATGGATTTCAGGAATTCCCTCTTGGGTAACCACAGGGCAACTCTCCAGTGCCCAAGCAGCACAGTCCTTGTAGAAGAAACACAATTAAGATGCAACAGACACATTTCAGGTTCATATGTGAATGATTCCGGAAAAAAAAAAAAAATGAGTACCCTGGAAAGGAGGCAGGACGCTGAGTTGGTGGATAGAAATAGGTTAGTTCATAGTGCACAGACACTTGTAAATTGTACAGGTCCGTGAATGGATGTATCAAAATGAACCACACATGTGCCAACTAATAGACTGTCAAGAACCTAGAAGCCTGGAATCTTAAGAAAATGATTAAATGAAACATTTCAGCCTGCAGGAAATTTGGAAGCTTATTTCTATCAGAAGCAAAACTAGTGGCTGAAGTGTTCACTGTCTCTCCTTTGAGAACAGCACTCGGCATTGATGGCATCTTTCCTGAAGTAAAGAAGAGTGAACTTAAGACACCAAGATATCCTCCCACCTCTTCCCTACTGATTCTATTTCCATTATTTTCAATTGTGGTGATACACAAGTACATAAAATCTTCCACTGTAACTTTTCGTATACAATCCAGTTACCCTAACGTCTTCACCTTAAAACACTGCAATGTTATACCTGCTGATTCAGGGGTCATTGCATAATGGTGACTTTGAGAAGGACACGTTTGCACCATTGGACCCAAGCCAGCATGCAGAATGCATATTCATGATCGGCCAATCAGTTTAATCTATAGATTATTTGCCATACAGTCCAGATTACTTTCTTCTCAGTCATTTTCATAAACAAGACCCTGTTTTTTCCTATTTTAGATGATGATCAATTTACTTACATTTCACAAAAAAAATGTTTAGGATAAATATTTACATATTAGGATTAAAATCTTACTGGTGTTAATGCTACAAGAAAATATGCAACTCTATACTATCAAGTAAATGACTCTTGAGCAGGAGTTTTGTTCTGTTCTGTTTTTTCCTCAAACAGTGTATGGGAAGAGTCATTCAGTTATGACATAAAGGAAGCCTCCAGAATTTAGCTTGGAGAGAAGACACTGAACTCAGCAACTGAACACTGACATTCCATAACAGAGAGCGTGGGTTCAGGCGCCGGCTCAGCCGCTCATCGTCATCCAGATGAACCGGACCTCCGAGCCAGTGCTTGATGGCTCGATACCCGAGAGGAGACCAGAGGAGACAGGGCTGCTGACTGCAGACACTGGAGAGAAAAATCAATCGCTCTCTCTCTCTCCTTCGTTCAGATAAATCAAAATAAAGTAAAATAAACATGTGAGTTTCAGTATACTAAACTGATACTGTATATAAACTGATACCCTACAAGGAAGGAAAAGTTGTTTGAAAGAAAACAGAGGCATGTTTGGTCTGGTGGCTGGCTGCCCGCCTCCCATATCCCAGATCTGGGGTTTGAGTCCTGCCTCAGGCTACTGGTCTCCGCTTCTTGCTAATGCATGTCCCAGAGAGGCAGAGGTGATGGCTCAACTAGTTGAGCTCGGCCACCCAAGTGGGAAGCTCAGAAGAGTCCCCAGCTTCCTGACTGCAGCTGGCCAGTAGAGCATGGCAGATACGTAGGGACCAAAGCAATAGACAGGCTCACTCACTCTCTCTCTCTCTCTCCCTTTCTCTCTCTCCCCCTCTCAGAAAAAAGAGAAGGAAGGGGAAAGAATGGAAGGAAGGAAGAAAGGAAGATGGGAAGTGGCAGAGGGAAGAACACTAAAATGTAAAAGCAATCATTATATCCTTGCTGTAACGGAATGAAAGCTTCCCAGTGAGCATCATGCCGCTACAGTTCATTTCTCACAGTCGACACAGAGGAACACCACGTCAATGCAGCACTCAGAGGTGAGTCAGGAAGACAGCTTGATAAAAGGGCAACTCTGTTTCTACGAGACATGCAGAGTGAGGGGAGAATGCTGAGGCGAGGGTCTGTGCCCACTGAGCCTTAGGGACGCTTCATGGTGAGCCAAGGCTTCAGCGGGCCCTATACTGGAGCCACTGTTCTTACAGGACTTGCTCCTAACAGTTTCCACTCTAATGTAATAGTTTAGTGAAATGCTTCAACTCCCATTTCTTAGGAACATCCCACCAAAAGAGTAACTGCATTTTTTCCTACTTGTTTCACAAAGGAGCACAAATTTCTAAAAGATACTCCAGTGCTCTTTTGTGCATTATCAGTTACTGATGTCATATTACTACAAGTAAAATGTGTCACTGTCACTGCTAAAGTAACAGAATGAACTGTAAATTTCAGGGCATTGAGGTCTTCATCGGGAGGTAAACACTTCACCAAGAATTTGGTCAACTCCAGAACGAAGGTTTGTAAATCTTTTCATCTACATTTACATAAAATATTTTCTCCCAAAGTATTTTAGCTTTTCATCATTCATCTTACATTTCTTCATGTCTAGAATCAAATAAACATAGAAATTACCTTTGGCTCATAGCACTGGGAATCAAGATAATACCATAAAGAAAATATTACCTTGTACAGTAAAATGGAAACTTTCAAATCAGACATTTATTGAGATTAGATTTTGGCTTATTTTGACACAATGTTGACAAGAATTTGCAAGTCACAGAGTTTACCTTTAAAAAAAACCTACGAGATATCTTACTATCTTCCAGACTATGGAGAAGGAAAAGAAGATCAGTGTAGTTATGTCAATATTTGCAAGATGACGTTTCAATTGCTTCGTGGTAGGATTTTCTTTTCCTTGTCACCTACTCATTAGAACAAACATCTACCTTTTGATTCCAAACTGGAACGGCATTTCAAGAAACAGAATTGCTCATAATTCAATCTAAAAAGTAACAAAGGAAATAGTAAAACAAAACATACTTGGCACAAAAGTAGTCAAACGAGTTTTGTTTTTCATTCTTTTGAACTGACCCCTAGAAATTATATATATATACAGACATATAGAATAGCATACCACTACTACTTCATACTTCTCTAATTGTGTGCACACACACACACAGGTGAATACAGTGGCAGTTAACAGCAAGAGAGGGAGAATTACAAAAGGAGATACACAGAGATACATAGCCAAGCAGAGAGATGCTAATTCTGATTAATACACACATAGCCTCAGGTTTCAGTCTGCTATCTACAAATATCCAAGAGGTATCTGAGAACCACAGATCATCTCAACAGTCCAATCAATCCACTCTGAAATTGCCTCTTCTTTAGCAAGGCCATGTCAGTTATTAATATATCAGTACTTTCAAACAATTATCAATAATTTCTAATGATTTTTATTAAAAAGCCATCTTGAATACTAGTTAATGAGAACAGCTTGGGGACTGGGTTTCCTCACTGCTGTGTTGACTGACAGTGTCTTCCAGTTGAACACCTTACACACACAGCATCCTGATAGACTCAAAGCTGCATTAAGCAGAACAAAGCAAAGCACATACCCCTGTTTCTAAAAGTTGATGCAGCTGCACTACTGCCTTCAAAGTCATCCCGGATATTTTTCTTCCATCCATCACAGTCACTCAAGAAGCAGAAATGCCACTTGAGTCGCTGCCCTGTCTTAATTGCTCTGAAATATTT